GTATGAGCTGTCGCCTCTGCACTCGATACTTCCTGAAGATGGGGAGCTGCAAGGTTCTCCTGATTATCAGTTTGAACACTATCCTTTGTATGTAAGGATCGTTCAGTATTGTTTTCATTAAGGTTTGAATGTGTAGATTGCCCAACAGAGCCATCCGACATCACATCAATCACAGAAACATAAACAAAATTAACAGGAAGGGGATCCTCAGGGGCAATTAAATCAGACCCCAACTCCTGTTTTGTGGTAAATTCCTCCACAGGTTGAGCAGATGTGTCAAGAGCAGTGGGGTTAGACCAATCCTTATTCATTTGAGCTTTAGATTTCAAATTAGGATGGAGCCTATGACATTTATCAAAGGTATGCCCAAACATCTTACAGTGGGTACAATAAAACAGTCTATGTTTCATGAAAATTTGTTGCCAATATCCATTATGTGTTGTGCTCAGCCAGACTTCAGTAATATCAGGTAAAGTAGTATCCCTTTTCATAAGTATTCTGGCCACAGAAGACCTGGTTAGATTGAAGACGGGTAGATCTAGCTTCATATGGTCCCCAAGTATGACCCCAATAGAGTGAAGAATCTGATGATTAAAAAAGTGCAGCTTGAGACCAGGTAGACTAAACCATACCGGTACAGTGAGAGATTCATGATTTAGGTAAAAATTAAGAGATCACTTGAGTAACTTCATTGACTTGTCTGCAATATTATTATATTTTTTGGAGAATATCCGAACGTTGTCTTCAACCACGGTTAACTGAATCAACGCATGTCTCCCATCAAAGCATAGTCATCGCCTCGGTTTCGTCGTCTCTCTGCTTCCGTATCCTCGCATATTCTGCTTCGTCGGCTCGCATCTGCGTCGTTTCTTACTGCGCTTTCGTCTGTTTCCTATGTTTTGCTTGTTTCGACGCTGACAGTGTTTGCAGCTTCCGCGATTCTATCAGAACGTCGTAGCAGGTGACGTCGACAGCTTCAGTCTCCGCACCTTTCCCTCTCCCTGTTTCCGCGATTATATCGGGAGGTCGTAGCAGGTGGATCTACATGCTCTGATGGCGCTCCCTCCTTCTTCGGTTGAACTTGACAAAACGTCCTTTTCGCACGTGGTGGGTAGTCTTCAGGTGGAGTTTGCGATTGTGTTTCCTACAAGCTATGAGGATTGTCGTGATGGTGCAGGTGATTGACCTTTTTCGGTTGAACTTGACAAAACGTCCTTTGCGCACGTGGTGGGTAGTCTTCAGGTGGAGTTTGCGATTGTGTTTCCTACAAGCTATGAGGATTGTCGTGATGGTGCAGGTGATTGACCTTTTGTTATGAAGACAAGTCGGAAAGGTGAGAAACAACACTCTTCTTTTCGCTCTGCTAGGATTTCTGTTTATGGCGAACTCTAGCTCGAAACAGACATCTGTTTTCACTCGCTCGTTTCGATACTTTTAGTCTTCATCTTCGGCTCTGGCTGGCGGAGGAGTTCGCGTTGTCGAGCTTGCTCGCCTGCTACATCGTCTGTGTCGTTTGCTGCGTCGTCGTGTCGTCGAGCCTGCTGCGCCGTCTGCTGCATCGTCGAGCCTTTCTGCTCTCGTCTATCGTGTCTTCTGCGACGCTTTGCGCGGCAGGTTCGTCAAGGCCGCTCGACTGCTCCGCCATAGTTTCTACAGTTTTTGCTCGACTGATTGATTGCTCGCGTACCGGTTGCTCCATTTGCTGCAGTGCTTGTGTGAAGTACGCTAATGGCATCAGGATTTTTTTATGCTGCCGCCGTCGCCAGTGATAATCCCGCAAAACCCTCCTATGCTATAGTTGTTCACAAACGCAACTCCTCTTTCCACCTCATTGATAGTCTGGTAGTATCGCAGATGTACCATGATTCTGTTGCAAGAAATGACGATTGCAATCTCATAAAAAAAGTAGAGAAAAAATTTGGCTAACCAGTATTATTCTTCTCTGACGCTGAAATTTCAACTCGTGCAGGAAAATACAAATTTACTAGTTGGAAAGTTCCAATTATGTTGCTCTACGATGAAGATCATCAAGAAGGTTTTTGAAGGTTTCAAACTTGTCGGGGATTGACATGTGGGTCATTTCGACGAAATGCATGTTATGATACAGTTGAACATAAAAGAAGATTACACGAGAATTTTCTCAAAAAAATTCATCACAATCGAGAGTAAACATATGAAATATCTCAAATAGACCTCTAATTTTGATCCCAGTCAAGAACCCTTAATTGCACCTATTTGGTTTTCATTACCTGAACTCAAACTTCAATTCTTTTATCTACCTATCTTATATGCATTTGAGACTATCATTGGAAAATCTTTGCAGGTAGATTTACGTATAGTTCATTTCTCAAGATCCTCTATTGCAAGAATTTATATTGAAAGAGATTACACTATTAAATGTAGAAAAAGTCTGACTTGGATCTGCTCACAATGGTTATTGACAAAAAATCATTATGAAACAGAAAGGTCCTCTATTGCAAGAATTTATATTGAAAGAGATATTACACTATTAAATGTAGAAAAAGTCTGACTTGGATCTGCTCACAATGGTTATTGACAAAAAATCATTATGAAACAGAAACCTTACTATTGCAAGCATTGCAAGATGTTTGGACACCCGCAGGAGAAATGTTTCATATTGTACCCAAAGATGAAAACCAATAGTTAAAAGCAATAACACACTATTAGTGCACCCCATGTGCCCGAACGCGCTCCCAACAAACCTGATGATAGCCAACCTGAGGAGGGAATCACCACAAAATAAGAGTTGATGTCTGCCCCTGGGATCCCTTCTCCTGACCATACTACAACGGATAATGTTCCAACCAAAAATCAAATCAAGATAGTCCTGTAGCTCCTATTCAGGAAGCATAGGTGCAAATGTAACAATTTACACTTCACATACACTAGAACTTATCGCGGTGGCAACGACTGACTTTCCTTCTACTGCGGCTCTAAGATCGCATGAGCCTGTCTTCAGATGAAGAATGAAAGGTTTACACTTCTCTACGGAAGAAGGTTGGGGGCACACTCAAACTTGGAAACTTAATGGGTGATACTTTAGTTACTCTTGGCAATGACACGACTCTTCAAAGTTTGTTATCTGACCTAAAACTAGAGGAAGAGACATGACAAAACTAGCTCGTCCCTAGCTACTTGTTTTCTATATGTTTTAAATTTATTGTACATTTTATTGAGTTTATTTGTAACTTTTTGTTAGGATATTACTGTACTTGTATTGTATGGGTAGGATAAAGTGCCTCTTTTGTGCTCCCTCATACAACCTTTATGTATCCTTTCTATTTCAATAAAATCAGACCTTGAGCTTTTCAAATACATACATATATATATCTTTTCAGATACATATATTTGTGTGTATATTTGTGTGTGTGTGTGTGTATATATGTGCGTGCGCGCACGTGTGTGTGTGCACCACATATATTTGTGTATGTATTTGTGTGTGTGTGTGTGTGTATATGTGCGTGCGCGCACGTGTGTGTGTGCACCACGCTTCTAAATCAAATTAAATTAACTTAATTAGGTTGAAAAAGGGGAGCAACTATAGTATCGAATATTGTTTTACAATAATCAATTAATTTAATTAAGAGATTTAATTAAAATTTTTAATTTATTGATTTATATTTTCATAAAAAATTAAATATATTAATATTTTATATATGCTATTGAGTATCAAAAATGATTGATTCAAAATATAGAATTTTATAAGATAGTTCGAATTGATTTTAAGAGATGCTAAAAATGGATGTATTTTAAAATAGTTAAAAATTTCCTGATTTAATCCAAATTGGGTATCAAAATGAGGATATAGTTGTTCATGAAGCATATGCATAGGAAAATACTTGGTCAATCCTCCTTGTGTTCGAACAGAAGTAACATTTTTAGTATACATGTTTTTAATGACTTGAATATAAGACATATCAACACCTTTCTTTTCTAAAACACTCCAAAGTACTTCTCTTGAAAACTTATCGTAAGTTTTTTATAAATCATTACAAATCTTATGTTGATCCTCCTTACTCTCTGTGCTTCTCAATCAAACCTCTCAATAAATGTATAACTTTTATTGAAGACTTGCTCGACATAAATATAAACTGATTATGAGAAATCCTTGCATCACATTTTAACATATATTCAATTACTCTCTCCCATAATTTTAGTGAATGACACATTAATTTAATTTCTCTATAATTTGCACGTTGTTGTGTTTCCACTTTATTCTTAAAAAAGGAGAACAAAATACTCTTTCTTCACTTTTCAGACATCTTTTTTAGTTTTTTAAATAATATTAAAAATTTTAGTAAGCCAAGAAATCGCCAAATCTCTTAAAGATTTTCACACTTCTATTGGGATACCATTTGATTCTACTGATTTTTAACCCTTGATTTTCTTTGAAGCCTCGTCAACTTTCTTTTTACTAATGTGACGGTAAAAATAAAATTTTATTATTATTAACGATATTAAGATCTCTAAAGTCGGTTATGTTGAATATCTTCATCTAAGATTAGGTGGTTTGTGCTTACACATTAAAGGCTTAAAATGCATCTATAGGATCTATGTACTACATTAATGTCGAAAGATAAAGATGGAAATGGAATATTTTTAAGATATATGGATACATATTCTACAAGAAAAGGTTTGTATATAATACACTTAACTCTTGATGTAATACTAGATTGAGTTGTGATTGAGAATTTATAAAGACAAATGTGTGAATTTTCAAATCTTGCATGCTTGCTAGTTTAGTTTATAAAGATTTTTATTAGTTCTTACGAAAGTCCTTAGATTTAATGTCTCCTCTCCCATGAAAAAAAATAAAAATTTGTTGTAGACGTTGACGTCTATGCACATATACATCTCCAAATATCATGTCATTTTATGCTGTTTTTTCAAAAGCCTTCATGTTTAAAGTTGCATCAAATTGGAAATAATATTTCCTTTGCTTCTTTTATCAGTTCTCACATTTAATTAGTTTCTTTCAGGGACCAGTACAAGTGAAGCCATTGTGATGCAGATCATTTCAGGACTAAATGAGACGGTTGATTTAGTTCTTGATTATCTTCAAGATGCAAAGGTTTGTGCCTATCCATTTTGCCACTGTTCGGAGAAATTTATTAGTAGTAATTTCAATTCAACCGACTTGTCTCCTTTTTTCTTATTTTGAGTTTCATGCTTGTTTGGTACTTATTAATCATGGATGCAGACACAATTGCTGGTATACTTACGGTATAAAATATTTTCTTCAGTATACATCATATTTTAGTAAAATTGAACACAACAAGCAAGAATTCGATCATTTTTTCTGTAAAATTACGGCTATTTTTAAGTTAGCTGGATAGCCTTGAACTGTTTTTTTTTTTTTTTTGTTTGTTTTTGGTTATTGCTGCTGATAGCGGCTATAAGAAGTCGTTACCTAAATGGAAACTTTTGTTTGAGCTTTCTTGGTGATTCTCCTCTCCTTTATTTAACCATCTGTCTCTGTTTTACTTTTCCTTAATGCCATTGCCATAGTAACAGCTTTGCGTGCGTTCCATTAGCTCCTAGTGAGCAAATTTGGATGTAAAGTTGTGTGGGTGACTAGCAAGGTTGTGTTCCAAATTTGCTTGATTTTTATTTGATTAGTGTAACTGAGCTTAGGAATTATGCTAAACCATGAAATTGATTTGGTTCAATTTAGATTTGGTCTAAGCTCTTGTCTTTATTTTGTGCTCGTGTGCATCAATTCCCCTGTAGCCAAAAAAGCCTTAGGAGATTTAGAAATGGGGTGCATGCCATGTAGATCAGGCGCTGTTCTTTTTGTTAATTTTCTTTGATTCAAGCCTCTTAGTGGAAAAAGTATTCATCCTATGAACTGGGTAGTTGTGCGTTTCTGTAGGAGTAGTACTTAATAATTTGGTCAACCTTGGCAATAGGTGTTGCTGTGGCCAGTGGTAGTGAACGGACAACACTTCATTCATTGAGGAGGACGATTTGTAGGCACAATAGGCTTGGAACTGCCTTGATACCGTACTGTATTATCCATATTGAAAATAAATCCAAAATAAAATTCTTGAGGCTCATTAATCAAATAAATTGAACATAATTTCCTAAGGATTTTCTTCGAGTCGGAAGATCTTAATTGGAGCTTTTTAGTTGAATTCAATCAAGTATAAAATCAGTTTCATTAAATCCTCACTATTTTCTCTAAGTATTAGCCATTGTTTTATATTTCTTATTTTGTTTAGCAATTTTTAACTTTATATCAATGTGATGTTTCTATAAATTCTTAGCAAAAATTGCATCAGGTCGAGAACATAATGTATACTGGAAGAATGAAATGAACTTAGAGGAACTTGAGAACTTGCACATAAGCGATGGAGGGAACCTCAGTACTTCGATTGAACCAAAATTTTGATCTGCAGGGGAAATGAACTGAGGGATCATCATATATATAAGGGGAAAATTGATTTCTTGTGTGGCCAAGTGGACTAAATTACAACCATATTGGGACAAAAATAATGTTATTTTGAAAACACATGAAAGATTCCAACTCCTGAAATTTGCTGCTGGATTTGCAATGCAGGCGTAATTAAGATAGAATGCAATATTTTAAAACTCAAATTGACATGTTTTTTGCAAGCATTTTAATTACAATTTTCATGCGAAGAACTACCTAAAAAATATAAAGCACAACACAAATACCTTTCAACTCAAATACAACACTTTAAAAATTGTGCAAGCGCATCAAAAGATGAAGCTCTCATGCATTTGCCCTGATAAAAGCATCATTGTTTAAGCTTAAGATAAAATTTTTTAACACGCTAAAACAATCAAATATGTTCGTTTGTGTTGACCTTTGTGCCTTATGAAGCACAAACACGGGGACATGGACACGACACGACATGATACGGGGACACGACATAATTGAAAAAAATATGACATGACACATTTTTATATTTAATTAATTATTAATATAAAAAATATATTTCTTTCATTATTCTTGATAAAAAATGTCACTGCACAAATTATGCAAGAATAAAGTTTACCTTCATAAATTTAATTTATATTATAAAACCTCATGCTTATGAAAATTAATTTTTAAAATCATATATAATATGTTTCAAACGAATTCATTCAAGTTTAAATCCAACTTATCTACTAAAATTTAAAAATAATATGATTATAAAGAAGAAATTACTAATATTTCAACTTCAACGAATATTGAATGCCCCATCGATGCTCGATTTCGACGAATGTTAGAGAGAGCCTCAACATGACAAGAGATTGAGTGGCTTCGACTGTGAGATATAATTAAAGCTTTACATATATTTATATTTTTCTAATTCATGTGCCCTATTTTCTCAAAATTGTATTAAGCTAACGTCCGTTGCGGCGTTGAGGTGTGTCTTGGACGCGTTCGAGTCTGAAAAAAATTCAAACATATGTTTTATAGTGTTGGAGAAATGTTAGGACATGTCAGACAACTATCGGTGACCGATATGTGTCAGACACGGGTACAACACATTTTTAGAAGTGTCAATGCTGCATAGTCCGTGCCTAATTCTTATAATGGCTTGGCCAAACAGGGTAATGATTGTAATAACTGTAACTAGAATAAGATAAAATAAAGTAGATTTTAGGTCGGTTCGACGGGTATAACCATCTCAATAGTTTTAGAGATGAATAAGTTCTCTCTTTTCTAATCTATTGGGTGGAGCAAAAGACTAGCTTGAAAGGACTTAGAGAGGTGAGGGAAAAAGAAGGAAGAAGAAAGAAAGAGACGATTTAGCGCGTGCAGGAGAAGTGGTGCTCGCCTTTGGGAAGGAAGCATTGGCGACATTTATCCTAGCTTGTTGTGGGATGAAGGAAGAGGAAGAAGGGAGGCACACCACTTACAGGTGGCTGGATCACTTCAAGTGTGAAGGAAAGGAAGACAGGAAAAAAAGAGACACTATGTGCGAGAGGAGAGGGCGGATCGACCGGCTCTTATATGAAGAAGAGAGCGGCTTTGTGGAGATGAATAGGGAAGCTGAGTAGAGGACGAGGTTGTTCTCGTGCGGGAGTCATCTCGTTCTAGACATCAGGCTAAACCAATTATATGAGGAGCGGGTCGCGTGCACGCGGGATATGGGAAGCTTAGTTGAAGGAAATATGGTTGCAAGCATTTTGTACAAAGGAAAGAGGAGGAACGAAGAGTTTTTGTGAGGGAAGTGGTCTTCGTGAATGAGGCAACCGAGCCAAGCCAAAGGAAGCGATAGTGGAAGAAATTTGGATTATAAATAGTGAAGTGGAGGTGATATTCAAAGAAAGTAAGTGGAAGAATAGACATTTACAAAAGTCTCCTAAAAGGTTAAGGTGAGTAATTTTTACTTTATTTGCGTTAATTTAATTTTTCTCGCTCTTTTAAAATGTTTCATTTGTTACACATATTAAAAACATTCTTATAACCGAATGAAGAAAAATGAAAATGATCTAATTGTTTTACGGTTTCAATTTTTTTTCTTTCGCACTGCATTAAATAAAAAGTTAAATGAATTGAATTGTTGAAAAAAATGAGATATAAGTTAAATGAAAGATTAAATAATTTATGGGCTCCAGTAGAAATTAGGGTTTGTGCTATATCATCTTAAATGTGTTTTGGTGGATAGAGAATAATTGGATCGACAACATCCGTTTCAAATCAGAATCAGGCATGTATAGAGAATGTTCAACTCTTGGTGTATGCACTATTGCAACAAGAAGTAAAGCAAGAAGAAGTAAAGGATTCACTTAAAATTATTACATGCATTGTTTTACATTTAAAAGATTAAATTGATTGAAATTTTAATATGGAATATAGTATTTTTTTTATTCTATTTTATAATATCATAATCATAAATTTATGCTAAATTATTCATTATTAGATATTCATGCATCTTTATCTTATTATAAGTATTATATCTTTTAGAATAGACGAATATAAATCTTTTTTTTCTACAGGGGGCATTTTACTCATTCATTACAAAATATTTAGTTAAGTGATGGGTTTGTATACTTCAAAGATGTTCATTGTGCTATCAATTAAATTATCAAATGGAAATTATGTGAATGCTAGCCAAATGTGAGGTTAATTTAAGAATTCGTGGAGAATATTTTAAAGCCTAGGTGATTGTATATATTTGACTAAATATGTTGTAATATTTTGTATGGATTTATCATCTGACCATTTCATTAGGATGCAATCCTAGGTATGGAACTTTTATTCAAAATGTACATTACCTTTAAGAGCTCCAATATTACTTGTAAAGAAAAAAAGGACAGAAGTTTTGATATGTGTATTGACTTAAAAAAATTTAATAAGCACTTTTAAGAATAAATTATCCACCGTTGAAAATTGACGTCTTATTTTATCAATTGAAAGAGGGTTTTATATTTTCAAAATCGATATTCAATTAAGTTATCATTAGTTGAGGATTAAAGAAGACATGTCCAGGATATCATTCAGATATAGATATGAATATAATGAATTTGTGGTGATTGCATTTGAATTTTCACATGTTCCATCAATCTTTATGGATTTAATGAGTTGGATTTTTAAGTCATTTTGGATATATTCGTGATAGTATCGATAATTGATATCATTGTTTATTCAACTGGTGAGGTTATCATTCTTATCATCTTTATGCAGTTTTGCAAATTTTATAAGATAATAAGTTTTATGCTAAATTGTTTAAATGTAAACTTTAAGTAATGAATGTCACATTTTTGGGCATGTGATGAGTCGAGAGAGTATATTAGTAGATCAAAATAAAATTAAGAGAATTACAAATTGTGAAGGTCGAGTGGAGTTGTAGAAGTTAATGGCTTAATTTCTAGGCATTGCAGGTTACTATAGCATATTTACTGAAGGGTTTTTTTAGATTGTTATGCCATCATCTTGTTTAACTGTCAATAATAAAATCTGAGTGGACTGATCATTGTGGTGATGCATTCCAGAAGCTAAAACTTTTACTTAATGATTGTCCCAAATTTGATTATTCGCTCATGATCAAATGAATTTCAATTTTATAGTGATGCATCATTATAAGGATTAGGATATGTTCTTATACAACATGA